TTCTTCACTTTTCAATAACCACCATTCTGATTCTGACTGGCATGAGATAATATCTCATTGTGGTTTTGATTTGCATTTCTCTGGTGATTAGTGATGTTGAACTTTTTTTCATGTTTGTTGGTCACATAAATATCTTCTTTTGAGAAGTGTCTGTTTGTGTCCTTTGCCCACTTTTTAATGGGGTCGTTTGCTTTTTTCTTGTACATTTGCTTAAGTTCTTATAGATTCTAAATATTAGACCTTTGCCAAATGGGTAGACTGCAAAAATTTTCTCCCATTCTATAGGTTATCTGTTCACACTGATAATAGTCTCTTTTGCTGTGCAGAAACTCTTTAGTTTAATTATAGATCCCATTTGTCAATTTTTGCTTTTGTTGCAATTGTTTTTGACATTTTTGTCATGAAATCTTTGCCTGTGCCTATATCTTGAATGGTACTGCTTAGATTTTCTTCTAGGGTTCTTACAGTTTGGGGTTTTACATTTAAGTCTTTAATACACTTAAGTATTAAGCATGATGCTTAATACCTAGGTGATGGGTTAATAGTTGTAGCAAACCACCATGTTTACCACCTTGGTTAATTTTTGTATAAGGTGTAAGGAAGGGTCCAGTTTCAGTTTTCTGCATATGGCTAGCTATTTCTCTCAGCACCATTTATTAAATAGGGAATCATTTCCCCATTGCTTGTTTTTGTCAGGTTTGTCAAAGATCAGACGGTTGCAGATGTGTGGTCTTATTTCTGAGTTCTCTATTCTGTTCCATTGGTTTATGTGTCTCCTTTTGTACCAGTACTATGCTGTTTTAGTTACTGTAGCCTTGTAGTATAGTTTGAAGTTGGGTAGCATGATGCCTCCAGCTTTGTGCTTTTTGCTTAGAATTGTCTTGGCTATTTGGGCTTTTTTGTTATTGTTCTATATGAATTTTAAAACAGTTGTTTTTCTAATTCTGTGAAGAATGTCTATGGTAGTTTAATGGAAATAGCATTGAATCTGTAAAATACTTTGGGCAGTATGGCAATTTTTGCAATATTGATTCTTCCTATCCATGAGCATGGAATGTTTTTCCATTTGTTTGTGTCTTCTCTGACTTCCTTGAGCAGTGGTTTGTAGGCTTCCTTGAAGAGGTCCTTCATTTCCTTTGTTAGCTGTATTCCTAGGCATTTTATTCTCTTTGTAGCAATTGTGAATGGTAGTTCATTCTTGATTTGTCTCTCTGCTTGTCTGTTGTTACTGTATAGACATGCTTGTGATTTTTGCACATGGACTTTTGTATCCTGAGACTTTGCTGAAGTTTCTTATCAGCTTAAGGAGCTTTTGGGTTGAGACAATGGGGTTTGCTAGATATAGAATCATGTCATTTGCAAACAGAGGCAATTTTAACCAGAAAATCTTCCTATGGGCAGCAAAGATCCAGAATCCACCTACACTCCCATCTCTGCTACTCACATCTTGATGCCCTTACATTTGGTTCAAAGCTAAGAGCACGTTCTGAATTAATTAAAAACTCAGAACATATCTCAGGTCCAGAGCTAGGGAGAAAACCATTTTTTTTTTTTTTTGGTTGAAAGAAATCTTAGATATTATCTAAGGGTAGTCTAACTCCTTCATTTGACAGATAAGAAAACTGAGCCCAGAACCTCGTCTGTATTGCCTCCTACTCTCACCAGGCCAGATGCCAGGCTCCAGCCAGGACAGCACTCAGCATTACGTGTGACCCAACTTAGTTTCAGTGAAGTACTGCTATAATCAACTAAATGACTCCTTTCCTAAAAGCAACTTTATAACGATGAGTAAAATGAGAAAACGAAGCACCAACCAACATTTTGCAAACTTACATTATACATTTCACTTGGGCATGATGATTTTTGGAAGAGGTTCTGTTTTCTATGAACACTAGGCAGTCTTTTTTGACTTTGGTCACTAGGCACCTGTGAAATTGAGGACATATTGTTGCATTCATATTATTTCAATGTACATTGAATACCAGGCCAGAAAAAAAGAAAGAAGGAAAGAATGGAAGGAAAAGAGATTTGTTGATTGTAGTGTTTTCAACAAGTCATGGACATTACATTGGGGCCTTTTGACTCACTGGTGACACAGCTTTCAGTGTGTTCTGTTTTCATTGGTAATTGATCATATTTCACTCTAAAATGAAAGATGAGACTGACAAAAAATCTTGTTATAATGCCCTTGGCTAAGAGGAAGGCAAGAAAGAAATACAGGTAAGCTAGTTTCCAAGAAATGAAATAAAGAGCACGAGAGATCATGTTGTGGCCCAGGCTTAAAGAATTGGTGAATTCTCATCTGAGTTTTGTCAGTTACCTTGATGTTTCATATTGGTTTTTCCTCATTATCTTGCTCAGGTGACTGCTCTGACCCTCCATGGGTTAGGGGTTTAACTAATGATGGTGACGTGCTTGGCATCCTCCATGCAAGGAAGGAGGCTGCCCCATCCCCTATTTTGGCCCAGAGCAGATAGCTGAACTAGATTGTGCTTCAGCCACGACTCTCCAGGGTGCATATTTTGGAAACTCAGGACCCACCTGCTGACCTGGGCCTTGAAAACCTCACAACTCCAGTCTTCATTCTGTCTGATTCCAAGGAAGATGAGAAAGAAAAAAAGCCGCTACACCCCTGCCCCCATCTGCTGCTGACCACTGCTGGGGATCTGCACTCCTCCTTCTACCTGGAGGGAGCAGGAAGTTATCCTGGAGAAGTAAGTCTTGAAGCATGGATGAGATTTCTGCAGATTGTCATCTGGGCAGTGGGGAGGGTGTTCCAAAATGTGAGGGACTCATTTGGGCAGTGGGGAGGGCAATCCCATTCTCTCTGCTTAAAGTAGCAGGAAGGGAATGAGGAAGGTCCTTTTATGCAATACTGAATAGTGGTTCAGAGTCTGAATGGAGGAACCCCACTTCCTGGTCAGATTCCAGGTAGGCTGCTTATCAACTCTGCAACTTGAGGCAAGTACCTCAACATTTCTATGCCTCAGTTTCCTTGTGTGGGAACTGGGGACTTAGGCTTGCTATGTGAAGCCCATTTCGGAATACTTTACTCATATTTATCCAATTAATCCTCACAACCGTCCAAGTAGATAGACACTATTATTACCCCCATCTATAGATTAGAAAACCAAGTCACACAGCTGGGAAATGGCAGAGGCAGCATTCAAATCCAAGCAGCCTGGCTTCATCATCAATGTTCTTAGCTGCTCAGTAGAGTGAGGAACAATGTCATTTTCTTTGTAGGGTTGTTGTGAGAATTAAATTAGTTAATCATGTTGAGTCCCTATCACAAACAGTGGCTTTCCCCACTGCTTGCTCTAAGCAAGTGCCCACTAGATGTGTGCTACCTCTTGTTAAGCTATCACGTAAGCTGGTGACAAGGACACTGAAGTGGGAGAGGGCATGGGAATAAAGATGGGACAGCAGGAAGCAACGAAGTACATCTGAGATGACCTGGGTCTTCTTTCCCCAGTAGTCCCCTCTTCTCTTCAAGCAGCAAGGATGATATTATTGGGGTCCAAAGGTATACAATTTTATCTCTGCGTAAAATTCCACAAAGAAATTCTGTTCTCAGTTTGTATGAGGTGATCTGTGATCCTATCCCCACATGTTTGAAGCTCTGAGCACAGACAAAACAATCAAATTACTTAGGCCATACTGCCCCAACAGGCTCTTCCTTTCTGTTTCAGTTTCCTAAGAAACACCCCTTTTCTCCCGGGCCTGACCTGTGTCCTGCTCACCGTGTTTGTTGCACAGACCCCATGGCCAGACCCATTTTTTCCTCTGCTTTACGCCTTGTTATGCACCGGGAGGCTGATTCTAGGGATCTCCTGCCAGCTGGCTTCCTGTAGGCCTTGGTCAGCAGGAGGAGCCAGCAGGAAATACAGGAGGAAAGAGGTCAGGATGCTTCTTCCCAGTATCACTGGTGTTTGAAGAAGTTTGCAATGCTTTGCTGTTGCAGCTCCCATGGAATGAGGGAAGTTCCTTCACAACTCCTGTCCCCAGGGCTCTGGTAACTCTATTTCCTCCTCTTGTCCCTTTGGCCCTAAGAGTGATCGTGGCTTCCCAGTGTTGCTGGTGTCTGGTGCCTTGTCACCCTTGTTTGCTCCTTATCCTTTTGCATGGTGCTGTAAGCCACACCTGATCCACACTCCATTTGTGTCATCTGGTTGAACTCAGGGCCCTGCCAGGACCCTGGCTAACATATCTACATTCACAGGATCACTTTGCCCATGAGGCCCAGAGGTGGAGCTGTATCTTTCCCATTAACTATGAATGTAAAAGTTAATCTCACTGAAAATGTCAGATAGTACATTTTTAATATTTATTAACACTAAAATTAGAATTGATAGATGAACTTGAAAAAGAAAACAGGTATCATACATATTCACAGCACACAGAGATAAACCACTATTTTTACTGTGTGCATTCTTTTCAACAAAAAGTTTGTAATGCATATACTATTGTTTATTGGGTGAAACACTGTGAACAATTTTCCTCATCAATAAATATACTTCAACATCAGTGAATTTATTTCTAATACTTTTACATCAAAATCCTTAATGACTGCAAAATCATATCTAGGCCTGTAACACAGTTTCATCAGTCCCCTACTAGCAAGCATTTGAGTAGGTTCTAATTTTTCCTTGTTATAAACAGTGCTGCAGTAAACATCCTTGTACAATATAAAATACTTGAAAATACAACACAATCAACTCAGTCTTCCTAAACCAAAAGCCACACATATGCAGCAATAGCAGCAGGGTCACTCCCTCTCAAGAGATAATAATATCTGCCTCCCCTGCCTCCCACTGATGTTGTGAGGTTCAACTGAGAAAATGGATATGTAAGTTCTTTATAAACTGTAGAGTGGATGGGGCGGTTATTACTGTATGAGCTGATTCTTTCATAACAACCCTGTAAGACAACACCATGAATATATCCTCAAGGCACATTGTACTGACAATTTTGCCAGACATAAAGAATTGAAAGCTTACTTTCAGGCTTTTATATATTTATTTCTCTTTAACACAACAAAGAATTGTGTATTAGAAAAGCAGCCTTCCTGTACACTAGTAAACTACCAGCTGGCAGTGCCTTCTACCTGTTCTGGTGCACATCAGCTCATTACGTCCCCTCGCGAGGACCACTGCAAACAATTGAAGGAATCTGAGTTGCCTAAAAGGTCCCTGTGGCTCTGAAAGTCCCTCCAGTGATACTGGTTACCCCAACTCCTAAAGCAGATTAGTCATAATGACTACTTTCCATTCCTTTCCTAATAGTCTCTTCTAAAAAGCACTTTAGATAACTCTGCTTGATTTTTAAAAAATTGAGCAGTAGTTCTTTTTTTTTTTTTTAATGGGAACTCTTATGTCAAGTATAGAAGCTGCACTGACATCTCACATGAAAGCTATCCCATCACTCAGCAAAAGGCACTCCATTTTGGATGGATTCTTGATTTACTTTCTGTGAATCTAAGTTCATGGATTTTCTGCTCTTGCTAAGGCAATATTATTAAAATGTCAGAACGCAGTTTCCTGGAGCAAGAGTCTTACGCAGTTTTCAATTCTTAATGAGAGGCATCAGCCAAGTTTTTAAAGTCTTGACTTGAATCATGCTTAATGCTATTTGTTAACTAGTGTGAAAAGGTTTCTGTGTGTTAAAGTGGTAACGTTCTAGCAAAGTAAATCATGTTCTGGGCACGATATTCTATCTGGTTGCTTGCTTTCTATTCCTATTTGACTATTTCACAAGAATTCTCAGCTTTTTCTTTTTCTTTTTCTTTTTTTTTTTTTTTGAGACGGAGTTTCACTGTTGTTATCCTGACTGGAGTGCAATGGCACGATCTCGGCTCACCACAACCTCCGCCTCCTGGGTTCAAGCAATTCTCCTGCCTCAGCCTCCCGAGTAGCTGGGACTACAGGCACGCGCCACCATGCCCAGCTAATTTTTGTATTTTTAGTAGAGACGGGGTTTCACCTTGTTGACCAGGATGGTCTCGATCTCTTGACCTCATGATCCATTGAATTCTATTTATAATGTCAAGAAGCATTTTTATTTTAAGTTCCCTCAAATTAAGAAAAGACACCAAGCCTCCTCTTGAACTGTTTTCTCAACTACTTGATCATCTGTGTCTCTTCTGGGAAGGATGGACAGACAGAGCAGGGCTCACTGTTCACATGCTGAATGTAACTCGCCCTAACAGCACAAGAAGCCCAAGGGCTTGTTTTCTGTGTGAGTCAAGGAAACACCTGCTACCTCATGAGACGAGCGTGATCCAGGGGTATTGGCAAGGAAAGGTCCGCAGGCCTTGCACAGAGATACGGGAATGGCTTTTGTTTCCTTCTTTCCTAATTTTGTCTCTGTAGATGTCTCACTGTTTCCATGGCTTCATTCATTTCCATCACCACCACTACCCCCACTTTTTTTACAGTTGTGTATTCAACCAGAGAAAATGAGTTTAAAAAAAACAATTATGATAGTGAAAAAAAGAACAGATTCAAAACTGCCATATGTGAGGCCCATGGGAGTCCTGGTTAATTTTCATTCTTATCATTTAGTTCTGAGATCGGCCTGTTTCAATAAATGTGAGAGTAAGCATGGTTAAGGACTTGATTTCCTTGCAACCTTAAAAAAAAAATGAACCAACTTGAGTCTTTTTCTTACCATGATGGGCTCCTGTTAGGCAAGAACTGTAACTGCATGAGCAAGTGGTCCCCATACCACAGGGGCAGACCTTGGTCACATAGCAACTCCCAAAATGGGAATCTTGGTGGATTTTAGAGCACGGTCGGCTAACCTTGAGAACATCATAGTCGCAGGCAAAATTCTCCATTCCTCTATTTGTCTTTCTGCTCCTTTCTTTGGTCCATATTCTTCTACACATTTTGGGTGCTTGAAATGCTGATTCTGAAAGAATAATCAATTAGCAAATAGTTACAAGGAGTAGGACACTCAGGGAGTCTAGCTGGAAAAAAAAAAGGACCAGCATGATAACTGTTAAAAAGTTATTTTTAACAATTTGTAGAAATTCAAAAGGGGGGAAATTACTATATACTGCAAAAGATTTGGAGAGGTTACATATAGAGCAGCAAGGTGAGCCGAGCCTTAAGTAGGTAGGAAGGTTGGATGAGGCTCAGCAAGGTGGACAGGAAGAGGGAAGCCGTGGCATTTGTGGAGTACACGTTGACAGAGGCAAGGAGGTAAGTCTGGTCAGGTGTGTTAAGGAGATGGTGGGTTTGGCCCAAAAGAAGTTTTCAAGGAGGAGAAATGGCACCTGAGGGCAGCATAGTGTTAGGCACCAGTTCATTGAAAGAAAGCCTCCAGGTGCAGTGCCTCATGCCTGTATTCCCAGTACTTTGGGAGGCTAAGGAGGGAAAATCATTTGAGCTCAAGAGTTCGAGACCAGCCTGAGCAACATAGCAACACCCCATCTCTACAAAAAATATAAAAATGAGCCACACTTAGTGGCATGCATCTGTAATCCTAGTTACTTGGGGGGCTGAGGCAGGAGGATCACTGGCACCCAGGAAGTTTAGGCTTCAGTGAGCCATGATTATGCCACTGAACTCCAGACTGGGTGACAAAACGAGATAGAGAGAGAGAGATATAGAGAAAGATATAAGAAAGAAAGAGAAAGAATGAAAGAAAGAAAGAAAGAAAGAAAGAAAGAAAGAAAGAAAGAAGGAAGGAAATAAAGAAAGAAAGAGGGAAGGGAGGGAGGGAGAGAAAGAGAGAGAGAGAACGAGAGCCTAGGGGATTTGGATTTCGTCCTATAGGCAATAGAAAGTCACTGGACATTTTTGGGCAAGCGACTGGCATGGAGGGAGATACCTCTAAAGATGGTAATCTGATGCTAATCACCAAAACCAGTGTCAGGAGGCTCCCACACAGTCTAGCTGTAAGGCCTTGAAGCCTGGGAGACAGATCTGTCCACTGCTAAGAACTCTGGAGGCTGCCCAGGGTCCTTTTGCTTTCTCTAAAAATCCCACGTTCTCATCCCATACTTTGCCCTTGACAGTACTGCCCATGCTATACTAAAATGTTAAGGACAGATTACGGCTTAAAGTAGGTGCAAGAGAACACAAAACTGCACAGGGATGAGAACTGTTCAGCAGGCTCACTATGAGAAGTCACTTTTCACAGAAGCCTTCAAAGCATATCTAGTAACATCTAGTTTTCAATAGTAAAAAAACAAAAAATAATTTAGGTGTTCTGGGATGGGGGGAAGTTTCACAAGAAGCCATTGACTTCAAATTTACTTCAAGTGGTGGCATTTGGGTTGTGGTCGATTGCTATGACACCAAGAGAAAGCAAGTTAACTTGGATTAAGTCTCTTTTCTGCTTTCCAAATTACATAGATTTCTCGGGGTCTTTGCCCTCCCCACATCTGGACTCCAGGAGTGAGTCATTTAAGGAGGCACCCCTGGACAGGAGTTTCTGTTCTCTGCAGTTGTTCTAATCTGCACTCTGTACTTGGATTGCCAGCCAGACAAATCAGGGAAGAAAGCAGGCATGCAAATTTCCCCAGGTTTACCATCTCAAAGAAACTGGCCTGACCAAAATGACCTCAGGCATCCACCAAGAAGAACTTGCTTCTAAGAACTTCTCTGCAGTCTTCCATGTTTCCTTCCATGACAGGCATCTGTGGGGTGACAATTAGGTGTGGTGGGTGGGCATTTCTGTGGGCTGGCAGCCTATTTTAACTTCCAACTGTGGGAGTGAGCTTTAACTCTGTGCTAAAATTAGGGGAATCCAACAACTCCTGTGGTTATTTCAATCAGTTCCCACTTATTGAGTAGCAGCGGCACAGTTAAGTAATAACATGGTAACCTTGCCAAGACATAAATGAAATGCTGAGTGTTGCCCAGTTGGAGCTGAAATCGCTTCAATGATCTAAGCTGAGAGCCAAACCAACAAAAGGGCTGCTGGCCCTCTGGGGGTGGGGGAAACTGGGGACACGGAACAGAATCCCCAGAGCAGCTAGCTCCTCAGATGCTGGGGGCAGAGCTAAGAGAGTGGGTGCTGATTGGCCTGGCAATCCAAACTTCACAACAGAAATGCCAACAGCCCCAGTGGTCAGGAAGGCTCGGTTTGCTCTCCCTCCCAGAGAGGACACATGGGGTTTCCCAGAGGAGCCCACTGCCAGACCCGGGACTCCTGGAAATACCTTGGCCCCTGGTGCTTGAGTTAACACTGTGGCAATGAATGTAATCATGATCCAGAGAAGCAGCTCCGAAGCCACACTGTGGAGAATGTTGTTCTGACTGGCTCTGCTATGAGGGGATGATTTTCTCTGACTGAGAGAGACAGAGGCGCCATGCCAGCTCCCAGTTCAGACCGGCAGATGAGGTCAAGAGAAGATCAAAAGGAGAAGGGTTTGAAGAAAGGTTTTATCCAGGATGCTTAGGGCACCAAAGGGTCAACAAGCCCTAAGCCATCCCCCCTGGGTTGGGGTAGGGTTGGGGTTAGATCTGGGGAGGGACCTACGGTGGCAGAGGTCATTGATAACTGCAGGTCGAGCATGCAAGTTTTCGGTTCATGCAGGGCTCTTCAGTTCCCCTTCCCCACTCTTTCAATGGTCTTAGCCATTTTACTCTGGGTGGTTAACTGGACCTGAGTTCAAGTCCAGTGCACACTGCAGGGGCCCGGAATGCCAGGAGACAGAATTGTTGGTGGCCATCTCAGAAGTCGGTCTGCCACACATTACGATCATTCAACCCAGGGGTGTCCAATCTTTTGGCTCCTCTGGGCCACATTGGAAGAAGAATTGTCTTGGGCCATACATCAAATACACGAACACTAATGAAAGCTGATAAGCTAATTTTAAAAATCACAGAAAAATCTCATTATGTTTTAAGAAAGTTTGTGAATTTTTGTTGGGCTGCATTCAAAGCTGTCCTGGGCCGCTGGCAGCCTGTGTGCCGTGGCTTGGCCAAGCTTGATTCAGCCTGAGAACCAAGTGAGCACAGAAGAGAAGGAAAAAGGAAAGCTGTCCACGGCTCTACCTCCTTCACAGTGACTATCAGCTCTAGCTGCACTTCAGAATTACTTAGGAGCTTTTTAAACATACCCATACCTGGGCCCCCACCCTACATGTTCTAATTTAACTGGTCTCAAGTGGGTGCTAGTTTTCTTCCTCACATGATTCCAATGAGCAGCAGGAATTGAGTTTTAGTAAAAAGACATAAAGAAACACTGACAAACACTGATTTCATCTTTCTAGGAAAGGTTAGGTAAGAAAGGGGATTTAAGATTTGACGAACACAAAGCATGAGCATAAACTCTGAGGGGTTTCCAGGTAGAAAGGCATGTTTAAAGGTCACCAGACAGATGCCGCTCCTCCCGACCTAAGAACGCCATCCCTGACACATCACCTCCACACCATCCCGACAAGGAGAGACACCTTGACCTCTGCGCCTCCTTCTCCCCCACGCACACTCAAGGCCAGGCAGCTCACAGTGGGACACAGCGGACTGCTCAAAGCTTACCTTATGTTGAGCTGATTTCAATGATCTCTTCTATTCTTATTCCTGTCCTTTGAGTTTTAGTAAAAAGACATAAAGAAAATTCCACACGATGTTGTTTTAAAAAGAGAAAAGTCTGAGCACCAGCTGAGTTACTGGATTGAAGGTTTGGCCCTGTTGCACTTTCAAATAATGAGGATGCCTGCCCAAGTCAGAGGAACAGGTCTCAGCTGCTGTGAAGCTCATCTCCTCTCTCTGCCCCTGGAAACTCACCTGTCCTGTGTCCTAGCCCAAGAGATACACATGGCAAATCTCATCTTCTAACAGTACCAGGGCTTAAGAGCTTAAAGGGTTTCCTTGACTTGTGTTAACAATTACCTTCACTGCCTTACACTAAAATTGAGACTATACCAAAAAAAAGTCACTTTTATATCATTAATTAAATAATGTTTTCATTTACAAATATTTCTGAAAAGCCATTCTGTTTCTGGTAGTGCTCGTTTCCAGAGAAGTTAATGGGGAAGCAAAGGCAGAGTCAGTTCCCCCTTATGGGATCCTTAACTAATTAATCACACAAACACATTAGGCCACTCCTGTGATCTGGGGTGTGCAGGAGAGGTACCTGGTGATTTGAGGGCACATCCCCTTTGCCTGAGTGTCAGGGAGGGCTTCCCTTGATGATCTGAGGAGGAGTTAACTCTGGAGAGTGTGGGAACCAGAGCATCCAGGCAGAGGAAACCTTGTAGACAAAAGCCCTGGGCTGGGAGGGAACTCGGGTAGGAGAAATTGAAAGGAGAGCTATGTGGTTGAGACCCAGAGCAAGGGAAAGTGGGCTGACAAAGGGGTAGGAGCCATCTGAAAGTGCATTATGACCCCCAAGAACAATGGGAAGACATCAAAAAATTTTTACGAGGAAAATGTTTCAGTGTTAGCAGTCAACGTCACAAAAGGCGCTTCCTCACTGGCAATTCATACTATTACTCTGCATTTGGGTTTTAAAACACGGAAAGTTCTTTTTAAAAGCCAAAACATCCTTTTTAACTATCCAAAAGGCTCTAGCATTTATTTATTCATTTGTTCATTCTACAACTATTCTTGAGCTCCCACTATGCACTGGGCCCTGCCACTCGGTCACCACCGATAGGAAGCTTATACACGGGTAAGAGGGATGGACAAGGAAAAACAGTTGCATGGCCAGGGGTCTCCCAGGGCTCTTGGTACTCCCAGTGCCTCCCTGCACCCAGCCATCTGCAAAGCCACGTTGATATGAATGAGGCTGAGACTCACAGAGAAAGACAATAGTGAACAAAATAAAGTCGAAGCTCCCCTCAGGCTGACAGCCTAGTACAAGGAGCTAAAAACACATAGCAGATAAATAGCTATACACGCAGCAGGTAGTTATAAATGCCATGAAAAGTGAAACAGATGAGAGGAGTACAGAAT